GTGTGTGTGTGTGTGTGTGTGTGTGTGTGTGTGTGTGTGTGGGTGTGTGTGTATGTATACACATATATATATTGAAAAATATATTATACATATATATACATTTTTATACATATAAATATATATATTTTAGAAGTACATATTGTATATATGGACATCCTTATCTTAAAAATACCGATAGGAATGTTTTATAAACATGTTTTCTTTGAGATATAATATGGAGATTATTTTTGTAGTGGCTTTTATACATACCTCATATGTATATAACTGTTCTTAATGATGGAAATGCATTCCATGATGGAGATATATTCCAATATATTAGATTGAGCTATGTGAAATTGCCTTATTAGCAGGTCAAAATTGGTGAAAAATATGGAATTTCATATGGTTCAACCTAACAAGACACATTATTTAATGAATCAGTTCTGTATGGAAGGAAATAAGGGTTATTCTAGGACAACACATTAATCTCAGCTTTTAGGTGGTGGACATGTTGACTTTTTAAAGTAAAGAATAGGACTGATATGCTTTCAAAATCAGTGTGGCCAGGCTGGGGTTGTAGCTCAGTGGTTGAGTGCTTGCCTTGCATATGTGAGGAACTGGGTTCAATCTCAGCACCACATAAAATAAATAAATAAATAAAAGAAAGATATTGTGTCCATCTACAACTAAAAACAATTCTAAAAAAAAATCAGGGTGGCTTAATAAAATCCTCATGTAGGTCTTACTGCCCTCCTCCCATGCCTACCTACGTGGTAGACAAATTTTGTTTCCCTTTTCATTTTCCATTCCCCCCTTGGTTTCTTTGTAGGTCTTGCTGCCTCTTTACTATTTTTTTTCCTTTTTCTCTTTTCATTGTTTTTCTTTTCTGTATCGGCTGAGTGGAATTTCACATGTTAAAAACTAGGTAATTTTAGGGCTGCCTTTATTTCCCCGAAGCAAAAAGTCCTACAAAAATGAAAATGGTTCTGATGTGGAAAGCCCAGTGGGAGCAGAATACTGCTCTTTTTACTTCCTTTTCTTTGCCTTTCCCTAATATTCCTGAATTTGTGGATTTTGTGTTCTCTGCAACCTAGAGAATAACACAGGTATATACTGAGAATGAGATTTTGAAAGAACAGTAACACAAACTCCAACCAGTTGGGTTTTGAACAGGAGTGTGAAGGAGGCTTTACATGCTTTCTGTTGGTTCATGAATACTGTAATCTTTAATTTTTGCAGGAATGGCCAGAGGAATCTTAGACAGCTTGCAGGCTAGATTGTTCAACTGTCATAAACAAATGGGAACTATCTCAATGACTTTTTCGGCCATTGAGTCATCTTGGCTAAGGTCATGAAACTTGTGTGTCAAAAATACCTCCTGATTAGGTTCATTATGTTCTCATTACTTTTGATATTTATATGTATTTTTATGGTTAATTTTTTTTTGAGGTGGTCACTGGGAATTGAACCCAAGAGCACTTTACCACTGAGCTACATCCCCAGGCCTTTTAAAAACTTTTTGTTTTGAGACAGGGTCTTGCTAAATTGCTGAGACTGGCCTTGAACTTGTGGTCCTCCTGCCTTATCCTCCTGAGTTGCTGGGATTATAGGCATGGGCCACCATGCCCAGCATTTTATGGTTAATTTTCGATGGCCATAATTGAGTCTTTAAATTTAGAGAAAACATAACTAAACTCTGTAAAGATATTCAGAACTTTGGGACAGTGTTATATGTGGATTAAGAAATCTCTTTACACCTAGTAGGAAAAGAAAAGCCAACATACTAATTGAAGAATGGTCACATTCTTCAATTAGTATGTTGGCTTTAATTTAACATGAAAGATGTATAAATAAACTTCTGTACTTTGATGATAAAGCAAAATATAAAAATGCTGTTT